AACGAGACAAGTTGATGTTTAGTTATAAATTTATTGACAACCTTATATATTTCATAAATGTGTTGATAACAGAGACACAATCTTTTCCATAATCATAAGAACGCTCCACTAAATGCAGAGCCCATTGTACAACTGCGACTACATCGTGAGCATGTGTTTATGGTTGTTTGTTTGTTGTTTTATGCCGCACTCAGCACTATTCCAGCTATGTGACGGCAGTCTGTAAATTACCGAGACTGGACCAGACAATCCAGTGATTGATTTCGTGAGTATCGACCTTCGCAATTGGGATACGATGACATGCATCAAGCAAGTCATTGAGCCTGACCATCTGATCCCGTAAGTCGCCTCTTAATACAAGAATGGGTTGCTGAAGATCTATTCTCTACCCGGATCTTCACGGGTTGCATATGTTTATGAATCACTATCAAACAGTGGACTAATGAACCCATAGGTATTATCACATAAGCAAATACGTGGATAATCTCAGCTGAGTGTCTTTTCATATAAATATGTCAACACGAGAAGATAAAAGTTAAAAACTCCGAGGCTTGCCGAGAAAGTTTTACTTTAAGAATTGACGTTCACTTTGTGTGAGTTCATTGGAGTATGAACCTTCATATAGTGAGGGCCAAACTGTATGAACGTCGGAGCTTGTGAAAGTCTATTCTTATAATTTTTTATCACAATTTCTTACCTCAAAGGATGTAGGCCAAGATCTAAACACAATTATATTTAGTACGTGTGACTTCATGTTTACACTGACAGTCAAACAACAACCAGCTATATCGCGGAATAAAATAGTTCCCCAAAAAGAGAGGTGACATGAGCGTATTGAGGAAGAACTTGCTCTTCAGAAACATCTTACGCAACACATGTGTTCATATAATATCCCCATTAGATGAGAAAGGTCTGTAATGAACTACCTCAGTAAGTCAGTCACAATGACAGCGCGTCGTAACACATTTACATCAAGTACACGACGTCAAAATGGCCGACACGATTAACGTGACAGGAGGATTTCCGAAGTTCTTAATGAACCTGTGGCGGTTACATGTGTTAGTCATCATTGATCAACTGACCGATTGTTGAAAGGTGATTAAAGATGCGTCAAACAGACACCAAGGTAAATTCGTAGATTCGTAGATGGAGACGGTCACTGTCAGCCTAGACACAGATCGAGTCGATACTGACGATAGTTTGGATGTGCATTTTTGCGTTTGTTCATTAGGATGGGCCGTAGCAAGGAAATTCGTGAACAATCATGCAGTCAAGCTCTCTTACGTTTCTCAATGTATGCTGAAATGCTGAGACCACGATTAAAGGTTCTAAATGATCAGAAATAATGCATATGTATGTTTTCGTGCCAGGGAATTCCCAGGGGTTTTCCAAGAAATGTGGAAGTAGTCCATCAGTGTTTACGTCATTTCAAGAACACGGTCTCGTAAAAAAAAGGGTAAAAAAACCGTCAAATTGTGTCGTTCATACACTTATGAACGCCAATTTCGCGGTCATGTGACCGACCTCTCGTCCAATGGAAAAGCCGTATATCGTGTAAACGTCAAATTAAAAAAATATTTTTTATGGACTATTGTTGTGTTTGATATCAAAAGACACGAGGGTGAGAATCTGTTGATTATCCAAAATCATTCTTCCAACTTTTTCAGTTTATAGGCACTGATAATCAGTGCCTTGAGTGTAAAATACAGAGATAACTAGCTTCAATTGCAAAAATAGGTGACGCCATTTGATTGTGACGTCATGGTTACCGATGGCGTCACAACGGTCTGCGAAACATCGTGATACAATTTCATCGTAGCGATATCTCCCAGGAAGCAATAAGTGTTACACTAAACTGTGAGTGACTATTGTCGGACTGTCAAAAACGGAAAAACACGGACTTCTGAATACAAGTCAATCAATAATATTCTCAACACGTAGCGGACCGCCTCCGTGGTCTAGTGGTAGAGCGTCCGCCCGGAGAGCGGAAGGTCCGGGGTTTGATCCCCGGCCGCGTCATACCAAAAGACGTTAAAAGATGGTACTTGTTGTTACCCTGTCTGGCGCTCGGCATTAAGGGGCTAAAACAAGGACTGGTCGGCTCCGAGTCAGTAAACTGTGTCTGAGTCGGGTATTCATGTTAAACTGCGGCATGGTATCTCAGTGAGCTAGCACTATAACTCGGCATCAGTCCGGACTAGTACAAGCAGCCACACAAACACACACACGTACATGCACGTCGCTATATAAGTGCAATAATCTTGGACGCGACTTTAAACCCCATTTCACCACCACCACCATAACTCAACACGTAACCTCAGTTTTACAGTAGCTGCATGATTTCACCCCCACTTCAATTCAATAACTTTTCATGGATTAATACAGTGAGCATTCATGGGGTTTGTTCAATAATTTCCGGGAGTACAAATGTTGAACAGTATTTCATATATATCACTGTCAGTTTAATGAGGGAGTAAATAACTAAGCGATGCGCCCAATGAATCTGTTTCGTCGGATAATCAAGACTGGTTATTCTCTGGCGCTGAAGCTATATATTTAAACACTTTGGATAAACCCACGGGTACGGGTGTGGACCTCACAAACAAAGTATCATTATCATTGCGATTTTGAAATGCGATCCTACGACTAGCGGATCCTGGCACACCCCAGGGGTACAACTCTGCATAAAGAATTGCGGAGCAATGCCAATTTGGCCACATGCAGACAGTTAAGAAAATACAAGAAAGGATGGATAAACCTCAATATCCAGTAAAGTCCAAGTTAATATGTGTTTATGTTCATGATTAACATTATGTAATAAATCGACAACACGTTCATTCTCGATAACCAACCATTTGACTTGTTAAGAACCTATGATTGTGGGTTCGAATCCCAGTTCGCTTCGATTATGTTTCTAGGTTTGTCAGCACGGTACCCGTCCTCGTGGGCTTCACGAAGGTGATAAACGTCTAAGACCTACATAACTTCGGGCTTTCCTTCCACATTTAGCTGACATGTCGTTATATAACTGAAATACTGTTCAAAGCGGCGTTAAACCCAACTCACTCACTCACTCATTCTTTAAGTACAAATTCGAATGAGAACAGAGTATGACCTTTATATGTGCCGGATGTTTCTCTCACAGTGGTGTTGACGTTAAATACCATGCAGTCCATATCATGAAGTCGTATCGTGTTTCCCCGGTCTAGGGGTCGCGCCCAAGGTAGTGTTATCACTAAAATGCACCCGCTGTCCCCAAGGGGTCAGGTTTGCATGGTAACTAAAGAATGATCAACAAGAGGGGGTGTTTTAAAAGTTCCAGGTCAGTCGCGAACAAACATAACTGCCACCCGACGGATATAAGAAATCGCGTCAATATTTTACTGTGGAGAAACGAGCGACACTGGTTTGCTTTGTATTACGGTTTTGAAACTGAAATGCGAAATACGGATTGAGTTACACTTTCTCAATGTCGGTAATAAATCTTATATCTAATTCCTCATTTGTTCTGAGGGGCAACAATATCACGTCATTAACATGACGTTCTCATGTGTGTGTTCTCATCGTAAGATGAACAATTTCGTTTTTTCTTAAGATTAAGTAAGGATAAGATATATGGATGAACAACTTCTTTATTACAGTTAGGAGCTACGTTTCGGTGTAGGTTCTAACACCGTTATCAAGCAGCCTATACCGAAATGGCTCTTCCAATTGTAATAAAGAAGTTGTTCATACATATATCTTATCCTTACTTAGTACTCCAACTTCTAAATGTCTTTCAAAGAAGTTTTCTTATGATTATTCTAAATTATTCTGCTTTCAAAAACATTGATTGTGAAAGCATACCTTGCCGTTCTGACACAACGTCTATATCTAGTTCAGATACAGCCCGCTTGGGGAGGGTTTAAGTAACGCGGAAACTTTGAACCCTGGAAACAACACAATCCTCATTTCCGCTATCCATCCCTTTCATTGTGGAAAACATTATATAGTATAGCCATAAAGTATATAGCAATTACCATGTACTTAAACCAACGTCATCCCCTCATTGTAAGGAATTCATAATAAATATGTATTTTGGTTCAACACACACAGCTGTCTTCGAGAGTATGTATGGCATTTGCTTCAGTTGATAGTATAAGGCAGCACACGAGTCCTATCAAACACTGTCTTCTTTCATTCCAAATTAGTTCTGTCCTTGTGGTATACAAAGATTCTGTTGAATTTGGGCAATCTGTTTTCTGATGTTTTGTGTGCTAAATAACAACGTTCTTGATGTAATGAACCAGTAAGTGATAAGACATTCTTTGGTCGAGTGGTTGATGTGTTTTCAGTAAACATAAACACCACTTGTAGTTATTATCAGACACTCACGTCCTGCCCCGTCTAACTGACGCTTCATTAATTTGTTTCCGGTATGGCTTATACAACCAATCAAAGGTCGATGGACTAAAGCGTGACAGTCTCCAAATTGGTTATATGCAAGTAGAAATTCTAGTTTTGTCTACTAGTCACGTTGTAGACATTGTTATGGGTGTGATTTTATTTAACGATATTGTCGTTGCAATTTCTTCTGTCTGAATGGAGCATCATCCTTAATTATAACTATTACTATTATCAAATGCGACTTTTGGCCTTAGGACTATCAATAAATTTTGATTATTTAAAAAATACAACCAAACGAACTTTTTTCTATATTAAGATGATTTAACAACGCTAAAAAACTTCATATGAATATATACATTCTTATGGTATATACATAAAATGAGGGGTTTAATAAGAATTGAAACGCCTTGATTGATCGGAAGTCAAATTAATGATAAGGCATTGATATCAAGTTCAGTGAGCACATCATAGCTCAGCAGTCTCACTATGTTTCAACCTTTATTTTCATATTGTTATAAGTTTAAATGGTTTAAAATGTATATACTTAATGTTGAGCTGGTTTGGGGAGAATGACAGCATGCTTAGAAACTGTAAGAATGTTTGGTGACGTTTACCTCATCCGTAGCCAACAGCTGTGGGTTGGCCTTGTCCATATTTCTTAACGACTGTTCCAGTATCATCCATTCGCCTCTGTTACACAACCCGAGCAGACGATCAGAACTACCGGAAGTCGTCTGTTGGTAGACCCCCCCTGAACTGAGGGACGCCGTGTCGGACCCCGACTCTGACCCCTTGCTCGAAGTCCCACTTCCGATCCCACTGGAAGTGGCGCTGGTTCGTCCGGCATTGTCCGTTTTAGGGTCTGCCTCCCTAATTTTGTAATCATGGTTGTTCATGGTGGATTCCTGACATCAAACGCTGGCCCCCTCATCACTGATCATCGTCAACATCTACACACACACTTTCCACAGAGACGTTGACATTGCTTCAAGTCGTCCAAGACTTGAAAGAAGTCGTTAGGATAAACTCAACGGTCTTCACCAAACAAATCGACAACCAAATCCCTTTGGGGATTCAACGAGTACCGTTCCACTCCGGAAAGAAGGGATTGGAATTTCAAACAGTTTTGGATTTCAACGAATTACTCCCTTTCTGTCACACAAGGATTATTCCTCTTCATCAGCAAGCAATTAACTAATCCTACCACTTTTCTTCAGCCTTTCTGATTTGGTCACATGTGACAATAGATCTGTCATAGAACCAACAGCACCATGGAAACACCAGGCGAATTCCTCTACTGATGGATGACGGACAGGTCCACTTTATCAGAGGGGACAAGCAGTATATCTGTTCAAATACCCGACTATCCGAACAAATACCCGCACCCGTCTTGTACGTGCAGTAAGCCGTACGCGTAATGTAGCAACGCTTCACGCCTGTTTATCATAGGATAAGGAAATAATTCAAATCCGACGGCAGGAATTATTGAGCGGTTCCCTCCTGCGCTGAAGTCGATTGTCCCGCAGTAAATAACACCACAGTCTTCGTCAGTAGCTAAGAGGCCTCGTATCCTGTACTGGCGGTTCCAATAACGAGATTGGAAGATGATCGAATAATTGGAAAATTACGCTGTAACTATCGCGTCGTTTTACCGTTTAACTGCGAATATAGTTAGTGAAAATTACACCACTCTTCCTTCGTATAATCGTTTTCAACTATTTACCCGTATCTTGCCGCAAATGTTGTTTCTCGTCATAAATACACCCACTGAAAGTAATTGGCACAGGTTCACATCCCACTTGTCAACGAGAAGTCGATTATCGATTAGGCTTGCTATTGATACTGCAGATTTCCATTCCTTAGACCACACTCTACCCAGGCTCCTCTGGTCAACACACAACGTGAAAAGGGATGGCTAGATTTGTTACGAATAACGTATGAGTATTTACAAAACGTCGTGCCTCCTCGTGTTTGCAAACGTACGTAGACCGTGACGGTTTTGCGCTTCAGTGCGCCATTCCTGCATCGTGTTATTCTGGCCCGTGACATTGCAATCATAAACAATTATAAAATTATATCATCGATCAATGTGCTTTATAACTCGCAGTGGCCAATAGACATAAGACTTAAATGATGTCACGTGACTCAATCAATGACAACAAAGGGGAGTAAGGAATCGCAACTTTGTTTCCGAAATCAGTCGATAAAGCAGGCGATAATATAAATTTCATTCCTGGATGACTCTGCATTAAAGATTAATACCCACCGTTGGTGAGAAAGCTTTGTGCTGTAGGCAACGGAAGATGCCCATTCTGTTAATGTATTATTGTTGATTAACGTACGTTTGCAACCGCAACTAATTAACTATTTCGAGGTTACAATGTACACAGACACGTTTGCGATGGGTTTTTATTAAATATTAATTCATGGTTATAATTTGCGTCCAGTGAGACTATAGAATGTTGATGGGATGGTAATTCGCAGTAATGGATGCATGTTCTGGGCGATGAAAGGGCGTAGTAATACATGTCGTTGAATGAGCAATTTATTTTTGTTATTTTGATGATTAATGTTAAGGCGCGTTGCTGGTTGGAATTAAAAGCACAATCAGGTGTAAGCGAGATATTACAAATAAACTTGATGGAGGAAGTGACGACGCTCTTGGCATCCTGTTGGGGCTCATTTCTGGGAGTGTTTTTGTGCGCTCAGCGTATGGCTTTAGTGGTGCTGTCATGCTAGGTTCTTATTGATATGTCATAAAATGAACAATGGGGTATTAACAAAGAGAAATCTGGCTATTTGCAGGACTGTTACTCGGAGGAGAAAAGAGTTTACACTTGGGAGAAAAAAAAAATGAAATCCTTTGAAAGTGTTATGTGCATTGCTTTGAGTCAGAGCGCAGCTGGCCATGTATCGGGTGAAAAAATGAGTTGCACTGGATGTCTGACATCGTTTTCTTTTTAGTAGCTCTGATTCTGTGGGTGTGGTGTGTAGGGTGTTCGTGTTTAGTGTTGTGCGCTCGGGTGTGTGTGTTGTATGTGTGTGATGTATGTGAGTGTTTGTGTTGTATTTGTGGTTGTGTATGTGGTGTGTATATATGGTTCATGGCGGTGGTGGTAGTGGTGTGTGTGTGTGTGTGTGTGTGTGTGTGTGGTTATTGGTGAATGTGTGGGTAGTTTTTTTTGTGTGTGGTTCGTAGTATGTGTGTGCTTGTGTGGTTCGTGGTGTGTGTGTGTGTCCCCATGTGTGGTCCGTGGTGTGTGTATGTGTGTTTCGTGGTCTGTGTGTGTGCGTGTATGGTTCGTGGTGTGTGTGTGTTTCGTGGTGTGTGTGTTCATGTATGGTTCGAAATGTGTGTGTGTCTGCGGGTGGTTCGTAGTGTGTGTGTGGTTCGTAGTAGGTTTGTGTGTGTGTGAAGTTCGTGGTGTGAATGTGTGGTTCGTGGTGGTGGTGTGTGTTTGTATTTGTGTTGTGTGTGTGGGGTGGTGGGGGGTGGGGGGTGGGGGGATGGGGTGGGGGGGGTGGGGGGTTTGAGAGTTCGTTGTGAATGTGTGGGTAGTTCGTGGTGTGTGTGTGTTTGTGTGGGTCTCTGTGTGTGGTTCGTGGTGAGTATGTGTGGTTCGTGGTGTGTGTGTACCTTTTTTGTTTCACTTTGTGTGTGCGTGTATGGTTCTCGGTATATTTGTGTGCGTTTCGTGGTGTGTGTGTTCGTGTATGGTTCGTGGTGTGTGTGTTTAGTTTGTGGCGTGTGTTTGGTTCATGGTGTGTGTGTGGTTGGTGGTGTGTGTGTTTCGTGGTGTGAACGCGTGTATGGTTCGTGGTGTATGTGTATAGTTTGTGGTGTGTGTGAGTGGTTCGTTGTGTGTGTGCGTGTGCGGTTCGTGGTGTGTGTGTGTGTGTGTGTGTGCGGTTCGTGGTGTGTGTGTGTGCGTGTGTGTGTGTGTGTGTGTGTGTGTGTGTGTGTGTGTGTGTGTGTGTGTGTGTGTGTGGTTCGTGGTGTGTGTGTGTGTGTGTGTGTGTGTGTGTGTGTGTGTGTGTGTGTGTGTGTGTGTGTGTGTGTGTGAGATTCGTGGTGTGTATGGTTTTGTGTGGTGTATCGTTTTGTGTGTGTGTGTGTGGTTCGTGGTGTGTGTGTAGTTCGTGGTTCGTAGTGTGTATGTGTGTTTCGTGGGGCGTGTTTGCGTATGTGGTTCATGGTGTGTGTACGTATGTGGTTCATGGTGTGTGTGCTTGTAGGGTTCGTGGTGTGTGTGCGTGTATGGTTCGTGGTGTGTGTGCGTGTAGGGTTCGTGGTGTGTGTGTGTGTCTGTGTGTGATTCGTGGTGTGTATGGTTTTGTGTGGTGTATCGTTTTGTGTGTTTGTGTGTAGTTCGTGGTGTGTGTGTAGTTCGTGGTTCGTAGTGTGTATGTGTTTCTCGTGGGGCGTGTGTGCGTATGTGGTTCATTGTGTGTGTGCGTATGTGGTTCATGGTGTGTGTGCGTGTAGGGTTCGTGGTGTGTGGGCGTGTATGGTTCGTGGTGTGTGTGTGTATAGTTTGTGGTGTGTGTGAGTTGTTCGTTGTGTGTGTGCGTGTGCGGTTCGTGGTGTGTGTGTGTGTCTGTGTGTGATTCGTGGTGTGTATGGTTTTGTGTGGTGTATCGTTTTGTGTGTGTGTGTGGTTCGTGGTGTGTGTGTAGTTCGTGGTTCGTAGTGTGTATGTGAGTTTCGTGGAGCGTGTGTGCGTATGTGGTTCATGGTGTGTGCGTATGTGATTCATGGTGTGTGTGCGTGTAGGGTTCGTGGTGTGTGGGCGTGTAGGGTTCATGGTGTGTGTGCGTATGTGGTTACGTGCGTGTGCGTGTAGGGTTCATGGTGTGTGTGTGCGTGTAGGGTTCATGGTGTGTGTGCGTGTAGGGTTCGTGGTGGGTGTGCGTGTAGGGTTCGTGGCGTGTGTGCGTGTAGGGTTCATGGTGTGTGTGCGTGTAGGGTTCGTGGTGTGTGTGCGTGTAGGGTTCATGGTGTGTGTGCGTGTAGGGTTCGTGGTGTGTGTGCGTGTAGGGTTCGTGGTGTGTGCGTGTAGGGTTCGTGGTGTGTGTGCGTGTAGGGTTCATGGTGTGTGTGCGTGTAGGGTTCATGGTGTGTGTGCGTGTAGGGTTCATGGTGTGTGAGCGTGTAGGGTTCATGGTGTGTGTGCGTGTAGGGTTCGTGGTGTGTGAGCGTGTAGGGTTCATGGTGTGTGTGCGTGTAGGGTTCATGGTGTGTGTGGGTGTAGGGTTCATGGTGTGTGTGCGTGTAGGGTTCATGGTGTGTGTGGGTGTAGGGTTCATGGTGTGTGAGCGTGTAGGGTTCGTGGTGTGTGTGCGTGTAGGGTTCATGGTGTGTGTGCGTGTAGGGTTCGTGGTGTGTGTGCGTGTAGGGTTCATGGTGTGTGTGCGTGTAGGGTTCGTGGTGTGTGTGCGTGTGCGTGTGCGTGTTGGGTTCATGGTGTGTGTGCGTGTAGGGTTCATGGTGTGTGTGCGTGTAGGGTTCATGGTGTGTGTGGGTGTAGGGTTCATGGTGTGTGTGCGTGTAGGGTTCGTGGTGTGTGTGCGTGTAGGGTTGGTGGTGTGTGTTCCTGTGTATGATTTTGTGTGGTGTGTATCACTCTTTAACCTGTAATCTGGCAAAGCCTTTAAGGAAGATACGACCCCCAAACATAAGAAGAAGAACTTAAGATCATACCAATCATGTTCGAGTGGAAGAACTATTTGTCAGCACAGTGTGCGTTATTATACAAGTAAACCTATCAGGATCTACCACGTTTACCGTAGACGGTTACTGTGTTGAACCAAGTAAGCAAGTAACATTGCCGGGGACAATCTGTGATCTCTGGCAACCATCACTATGACGGTTGTTATAGCCCTTGTGTAATAGAGTTCTGTCCTGGAACACACGACCAGAGGGTCTTGGTAGGGGAGCACCTCACCAGAAACACCCGACTTGTGATCAGGTGTATGCATGAAGATTCAGAGTGACAACAAGACTGTATGACAAGGGTATGGCTTCAATCTAGTATGCTTCCCCTTTATGTCGAGCAATATTCCAGCAGTACATACCTTCGGTGTCTACGTTAGATTATTTCGGGAGTTCGATTAAGCTTAGTTTTTTTTACGAATAATTCAAAGACCTGCTAAAAAGTTGTTGGATCAAGGTTACAAGATGCAAAGAATCGGTAGACCTTCGAGGCAGCGGTGAACAAAATGATGTCCGATGCAATTCCCTATTTCGACTTGTACCATGTGTTTCTTCGGAAGAACAGTTGACTTGCCTTTGTATGTGTTTGTGACGGGTGCCGTCGATTGGGGCAGATTAAGGTCACCTCGATGCGAATACCTGGTATCATCTCTATTAGATAGTGATTTATAACATATCACTTTTAAGGTCGCGTTCAAGATTATTGCACTTATCGACGCCCATAAACGTGTGTGCGTGCGTGCGTGCGTGCGTGTGTGTGTGTGTGTGTGTGTGTGTGTGTGTGTGTGTGCGTGCGCGCTCCCTTCCACTCAACTACGGAGGCGGTCGTTACAACAGGGCGGCGCTCAGTACGTTGTCATAAGTCTCCTGGGTGAAGTGAAACCCACACAAGGTCGCATTGCATTCGGTATAACTAGAGGTAATTAGGTATTACAAGACAACACCAAGCGTGGGATGCATGCATTACACCACTTTAGGAAGCAAACCCGGATCATGCGTGGCGAACGAACGCTTTACCACTAGACTACCCCGCCGGCAATTAAAGCTTCAAACTCCGTGTCATGATAGATCATTAAACTCGTCACTCAGAACTATTCTATCGACACTCAAATCAAGAGAGGTTCAGTGGATGATACCGGCGCATTGTCCCAGCTATCACGGCAACCTGTAAAACAATCGAATCTAGACCCGACCAGTGGTTGATATTATGAACACCGTCCTACGACGAGTACAATGAGAAGCAACCAACCAAACCATCGAAACTGACCACCCGATTCTATTTAATCAGAAGTCAATA